AACCCTAACCCTAAATTTTATTAAATACAATTATATATGGTGCTAAAACACCATAGGTGCGTTTTATAATAATTGTTATAGGAAAACTGGATTCCAATATTTCAAACATTATAATAAATTTGCCCTATTTTTATTATATAAAATTTCCTGTTCTTATATGAATTGCTAATTAAATCAAATTCCTGGATAGATCAAATATAAAGTTCTTAAAATTTAGCAAATGACATTCAGGTTCTTGTAATTACATGCACTGCTATTAATCTTTTCTCTAATGCATGAACAATAAAATGTAGTCGCATTAGTCAGTGCAAATATAAAACGACGAAAGGACTTATAGAAGTAATAATCTAATGGTTATCTATTTGTAAAAGTCTGATGCAATTTATGTTTTAGAAGTCTTTTTCCTTTGTGGAATTCTTTAACTTCTCCGCATTAGCTATAGAATTGTGTACACAAAATAATCAAAAATTATATTACATTTTTTCATTAATATAAGGTCTTTTTCAGAAACTGTTAATATATAATATCTGATGCATCAAACTCTAATTTAAATTATTATTGAAAATAGATTCAGAATCAACTTTAGGTTGGTTCAAAATTCTCTAATCATCTCGATCGAATTAAAATTTCAATTCAATTTAAACATATAGGGGTGAGTCAGTAGAAACGTACCTAATTTTTTATAATTAAGTTTTTAAAACTTTGAATTAAAATAAATAATACGTATTTAAAAACTTTTTTAAATCAGATCTATGATAAAGCTCAAAAAAGTTTCATTAAAAAAGATTTGGCGCATTCCCATATTTAAAAATCATTTAAGTGAATTCCAAGTCTATTTTGACATATAACAAAAATACCGTATATGAAGCGATGAATGCAATCTACATTTACTATTAATTAGCATAAAACTCCATGCAAAATCAAAAAATAAATATAAACATTTCAATTTATTTATAAAAATAAGTGTTACTCGCATACTACCGAAAAACAATGTAACATTATATAACGATAGTATATTTCTATTTTAATACGTTCAGAGTTATCTTAAGTTGGTTCTGAACATGTAGATATTCCAATCTACTAACGTACAGTACAACAAATAAGTTTTGAACTACCGTTACGTACGTACTATTTTATTATTTCATTTGTCTTAAGATTTTATCCTTGTGCTTAGGTTCATCGTCACATGTGTTATGTTAGTCATACATAGAGACGTTGTGTGGCCTGGCTTAGACTAATGCAATAATAAGCAACAGTCTTAAGACAAATCTAAATTTGAAAAAATCTTAAGACAATCTAAACTAAAAGAATTGATCAGCTTTTAGTCTTAAGACCAGACAAATCTGGACTGATTTAGACTAACTGAATCAAAGTAGATTAGACTACTATACATTCTTAGTCATACATGAAATTTTATATTTGTTCTTAAGTTATAAGTGTATCTTTACTTATATGCGTTTTTATATTTGTTTTTCAGTCTTAAGCGTATCTTTACTTGTATACATTCTTTATATTTGGATTTAAGTCATTTATAATTGAATTTCTTTGATAAATTGTGCATTTCCGTCTTTATGTTACATGAGATATAGATCAATGTTATAATGCATAGCATTATGTAATGACGTTTATTTTTCCGAAAGCTAATTTTGGCCTGATTAGAGCTAGGATTGACCTGATCTAGAGTTAGCGTTGGTAGAAATAGGTTTCTTGTAATTATTGTAATTATTAAGTCTAATAAAAGTACTCTCCACAGCATCCCGTGTCATGATAAAAAAAAAAAAAAAAAATAGGTTTCGTGAAAGTTATTGTCAGGAAATCAAATATAGATACTTGCGCAGACAAGGTATGAACTTTCAAAATTAACGTTTTTATTATGACTGTATAAGTCAACTAATGATGTTAGCAAAAACATATCTATGCTAATTACTTTTATCGTATTTCTTTAGTCTAAATTCATTTACATTTTTGGAAAAATACGTAATAAATGAAGTCTCGGATAATAAGCCCGGAAAAAAATAACTAATAAGGAAAAAAAAATTAATCTCCGTCATGCGACCATAGTGAGGTGGTAATGATTATTCACGATGATAGTTACATCAGCCCATCTATAGCTAAAAACCATTGCCATAATTATAGAAAAGCATCAATACGTATTAAGTGAATTAACGGAATACGTAATATGTATTACATTACTAACAAAGATGCTGCATATACCCCTTTTTTTCATAACTTTTATCATTTTTAGGTGACCTTACACAATGATCAAAAATGATAACTAAATGATTATGCAAATATGTTTCAAAGTGGAGGACCCGTTTAGTGACCCGGGTATGCACTTACGTAAAAGACTTTAGTAATATTTAAGACATTGCGATCGTGTTTTTCATTTACTAATTATTCATAAGAAATGACATCAAATAATCAATATGATCCAGGAAATGATGCGATTAATACAGTTATCATTGGAATACTCCCAGCGTTAGTAATTGTGCTCTTCAAGGGTTTTAAAAATGAAAAAAGAAACCCATCTTCTTTTATAAACGGATTTGATGATTTTATTATAATGGTTTCCATTACTATAAACCCATCATTTAGTGCATTTCAATGGTTATCATACGATAATAAGACAGTCATAAATATGATATTTGGATACATATCCTTGATATCATTTTGTTTAAGATCTCAACATCGATTTTTTTCTCTTCTTAATGTAAAAGAAGCAACATATTTTATGATAAGTTTTGTTTATTTATTAGTCGCCTTAATGTCCTTGGTTCTAATGTTTGGATATAGCATATTGGTAATTGGGAATGATATGGATTCTGTTAATATAATATCTTTTAATTATATTGGTAAATTATGTGCAAACAATTTCGGAACAGATAAATGTCAAATGCTGAATATATTAAATTATTCAGTAAATTGTACATGTTTTGGAATAAATTTTTTATTTTTCATATATTATTTTTGTTCTAATCGGAAAATGATGAAAAAGATAGAAGAAATGAACAAAAAGGAAAAATTTGGGTGGAAAACTTTAATTAATCTCGTTAAAAAATTAATTAAATTCTTGAAAGATACAATTTTTAATTGTTTTAAAAAAAACAAGAATGATGATCAAAGAAAAGAAGAGTTTCCATGGAAAAAATTAGATTATCTTATCTCTGTTATGAATAATAAGACAATGAATCGATTGGAAGGGTTAATTTTTTTCTTGAATCGTGTTATTTCTCTTACACTAGTTATTTATCCAGCTATTTTATCGGGATATTTACTTAGCACTAATGTTACTCTTACCAAAATATTTTTTGCAATTTGTATTATATCTTTAAGCAGATTAATTGAACATTTTGGTGATAATGAACCTGAAAAAATTACAACGATAATTTCTTACTATTTGAATTATAACTCTAATATGCATATAAGAAAATTGATATATGATCAATTAGAAGATCAGAAAAAGCAATTAGAAAAAATAGTGGATCAAGTTGGGTTCAAAAGCAAAGAAGTAATCAATAGTGTAAAAAATTCTCTAGAAAATCAAATAAAGGTGATATCAGAACGAAAGGTTGAAATTAATGAAATTAAAGACGTAGTCAAAGCATTATCTCGTCAGATTAAAATACTCCAGGAAGAAATTAAAAAATTACAAGGAGAAATTAGGGAATTACAGGAAAACCAACAAGAACCGCAAGAAGAACTAAAATTTGTGGCAACACTAGAAGAGATTGTAAAAAGACTAGAAACGATTGTAGAAGCACTAAAAGAGATTGTAAAAAGACTAGAATTGATTGTAAAAATGATTGTAGAAGCACAAGAAAAGAAAAAATGCAAAATTACTACAAATAATATGAATGGTAACGCAAATAGCCTGCCAATTTCGATTAATTAGAAAGATAAAGAATCACATTGTTTATTTTATATATGAAATTTTACAATATCTATGTATATATTTTTGTTACATAATTTTTAAGAAATTATTAAAAGCCTGATTTTTTTTATCGTCATAATTTTATTTCGTTCTACATAGAATGTGTTGTGTTGAACTAATTGTTAAAGTAAAGTATTAGGCGATATAGAAAGGCTAATAATAAAATTTGGTTGATATATCTGTCTTGTAAAGTTACGCGGAAAACATAGATCAACATAGGAATAATAAGGAAAACTGTCTTTCTTTAATTAATTAGAAATAAAAAAGCTTTTTCCTTTAATTGATTAGAAAGTATAATACAAATGAGATCATTTTTTCACCGAAGAAAACCATTGTTTACAACTCTTTACGAAAACAATCAATAAAAACGAATTCCTTTTGCAGTAAAATTTCAATTATATTCATATCATTCTTGCATATATGTATAGGCACTTGATCTTGCTGAAAAAAGCTGTTTTCTCATAGTAAAAGAAATGGCTTAAATTTTGTACCAATCCGGAACATAGTTGATGATATCGTGTCATTTGCAATTAGATTTCATGCAGTTATATTGTAACGTTGGGGTTTTTGGTCAACTAATTGTGACAAAGATATGTATAGTCTCCTAATTAAACCAATTAGTACAGTTTTTTACTATGATCATATTGGTACACGAATAAATATCATTTTTTAATAGGAATTTACTATACGAAAGTGATAAATCTTTAAAATCTAACTCCTCGCTCAGTATTAATTTTTCGAGCTTAAAAATAACATAAAACATATTAAAAACCATGCATTTTAATTTGTCGTGAGGTTTTTTTTTGGTACTAAAAAAGCTTTTTTTTCCTAGCATTTTATAGCTATTCATATAGTTTAAAAATCACAAATTCGTAAATAATTTGCATTCTATCTTAAATATTAAAATTTTGACACGAGAGTTCAAAGTACTAGTTATAACGCATTGATTAATGTATTTACTTTTTTCAAAATTCTAAATATTCACTGAGGAGATACAGTTCTAAGAAAACATAAAAATTTCGAATAATGCCGGGTGCCATACTAATAACCAACAAGATATACGTATGTACTGTACATACGCACTATTTAATTGGTGCAAGTTCCACTGCCACAATTGATAACCATTAAAATGTTAGAAAGTGGCGCAGATTAATGGATTTGAACAATACATAATTAATTAGCCAATTATATTATTTAAAATCTTTATTATATTATTAATATAATAAGGGACTACAAATAGGTTTGATTTAGTTATTGACCAAATATCCCAATTGTAACGTGCTTACTGTATCACAATTTAACTTATATTTAATGGTTTATACAGTATACTTTACATCACGCGAATCTTTGTAATACAAAATGCAAATGATCAATATTTATTTTTAATAACTTTAACCTTTTCACGATTTCAATTAATATACTGTATATAATTTTTAATAATCCTAGCCGGGAGATTGGAAAATTGACTAAAGCTAAAAAATTGCTAAGGCTAATTTGGATTTAATTCAGTAATTGGTCTTTTTATTGTTTTATGACATTAAAAAATAGTAGTAAATATTTAGATAAGCTAGATATGGGCAGTTGATATGTTATTTGTGGTAACCAAAATTCAAAAAGTTGTCTGAAATCTTCCCAATATGGTATAGATGTGCAGAACTTACTCCGAATGTTACCTCAATATAAGCAAAGGATTAACAGAATGTTTAACTCGCCTCAGCCAATCAGCAATACGTATGTATTTTTATCTGAATATATAAAGTTCGTGATTTTGGATTTTTTATTTAATTAAATATTAGAGTTAGGAGATTAGATTTAAGAGGACCTATAATAAACTGCGATTGGCACTTTATACTATAAAAAGCTTATATATAAATAGTAATATAACGTAATTGACGATAAACCTATGAATTCTTCCGACACTTCTGAAAATTCACAAGAATCTTTTTTGCCCGTCAATTGTGAGCCTCCCAACATTTTATCCTTTTCTATAGGTCTCCACGGTCCTTTTCTTGACTATGGTTCTTATGCAGATTGCTATTGTGATGAATGTAATGGTTGTCGAATTTCACTTTACACTTGTAAGAATGAGAGTTGTATGATTAAATGTCCGCCTCATACTCGGAAATGTCCAGGATGTGCCGGACCTAATTATTTGACTAGACATCGAACTAATCGAAGATATCGGAGGAAGAAGCTTTTAATAAATAAATCTAATAAATCTGATTCTATCATTGATATCTGTCAGAATTTCGGAATGATTATTGAATAACTTTTCTAAATTTTATTCGGTTTCTCTTTTTTATCACGGGCAATTTTCTCGGACAAGTTCTCAGGGGATCCCTCGTTCAATTTTCCAAATTCTTGTGTAACCATACGAGCCGAACACCTACGTGACAAGCATTTAAAAATTTAAGTTACCTAGCACTAGCCTTCTTATATAATTATATAAATATATATATATTAATCTTTATTACTGTATTATAGACACTATAGTTATATTTTTATCTTCATTATCTTCATGTTTATTTTTCGTTTTTAATTAACACAAAACTCTAGTCTTCGTCTTTAAGCATTATTTGTAGATCATGTATTTTAAATGATTTATTATGTACAGTATTAAATTGTCTTAAAATACTTCAACAATTATTGCATTAATCAAATATATTTATCAAGCAATATTATATTAAGCAATTATTTTTCGTTTGTAATTATTGATGCCCTGTAGCTTAAGATCTACAAATAAGCATGCTCAGAATAAAATGCATTGTCTCCTTCAAAATAAATGTAATAAAAATACTTTTTAATTTGCTCCTAAGTTAATAGAACATGTTATATCTCCCATGAGACTGTCAAATTTATATGCGATAGTTTTTAACAGGGCAGTTCTTGGAAAATTTTTCTCTTACCATGAAAAAAGTCTTTAAATAAGAAATATATTCCCTTCGTCTAATATTCAAGTTGATATAAGCGAAACAGAAATTGATTATTAGGCAAGTTTGTTAAAGCAAAAGTTATTGAGAGACTCCAACACAGTGTATAAAATCTATGTGCACAATGTGCTCATGAGCACATGTTTTTAAAAGTCTTCACATGTTTTTAGCTAGAAATGTGCACGAAATTCAAGCACCAAATTTATTAAAAAATCTTAGCTATGCGCACATAGAGCACATTGTGCACATTGTGCACACAGTCTATTTTTTTATATGTAAATTAAATAGATATTTATATAAAATGTTTTTTACAGTATTATAAAAATTTATATAATTTTTAAAATTATTCACATAAATTAAGTATACAATGTGCACAATATTCACATGTTTTTGAGGTGAGATTTTATACACTGCTCCAACACGAAATTCAAAAATTCAAATTTTTTAAGAAAGATAACTTGCAATTTTATTCTGAATTACGTTGTAAAATCTTCCATCATTTAAGGTATCCATCCCTTTTGACAACAATTTCGTATAAAAGGACATTTAATTTCGTACAAAATGATATTTAATTCCATACAAAGTGATATTCAATTTCGTACAAAATGTCATTTAAATTCGTACAAAGTGATATTCAAACCTGTAATTACTGTAAAATAAGTTTGATTAAATCACGATATTTTGTGATGTAGTAATCCAAATCGTCTCATCGATAGAATTTGAATGGTATCAAAATCTTCTATATTGGACCACTATATCACAAGATAATCAAACTTAATTGTCATTTTGTACAGATTTGAATGTCACTTTGTACGAATTTAAATATCATTTTGTACAAAATCGAATGTCACTTTGTTCGAAATTGAATATCATTTTGTAAGAAATTAAATGTCCTTTCGTATGAAATTGATGTCAAAAGGGATGTATTGCTCATTCATGCAAAGACTTAACCGCAAAGCATTTCGATTTCTTACATTAGTATATCAAAATTGGGAACTGCATGTGCAGTTCACGATGGGGTTTACTAATTTTGCCACCATTTCCTATATGCTGATCACCAATGCGACCAATAAGAGCTGGAACGTAGGGTGCATCACGTCGCGATAGTCCTTTTTGATTGGTGTATGCTAAAATATTACATCTAAAAAAAAAATAGTAAAGCAGGTAAATTAGACATGTGATTTTTAGATCTAGCGATATTCCAATGCTGAGATAATCTACAAAAATTTCTTATTTAAAGCAATTAATAATATAATTTCAAGTAATGAGTCAATCTATCGATCATGCAATTCATCCGGTCTATTCATACGGTATTTGCAAAAAATATTAGTGTGAATTCAATATTAAAGTCTTCACACAAGTCATCTTTGGTGCGTTTTGGATTTGGGCGTGGTAAATCGTATTTTTTGATATTATTACACAATATGGTGATAAAGTATTCTAATGCTAATAATATATTTTTTTTTAATAATCGACTTTGCATTATAGCAATGTTTTCAACGACATCTTCAGTAAATAACGCTTCCATCGTTACCACTGAATGGGTGGCGCAAAATTACGATTCTATTATACCCGTTGATGGATCATGGCATATGCCAAATACTAATAGAAATGCTTATGAAGAATATTTCAAGACGCGTTTGAAGGTTTTTTTTTACTGTTTTATTATATATGTTACGTTTATAAATATTGATAATACTTTTTTTTTATTCCTGTTAAAGAATGCGAGATTTTTTGGAATTGATGAAGTTAAAGACAAGACTACCGATTTACCGCATATGTTGCCGACTCCAAAAGATTTTTCGGAGGCTGTAGGTTTGTTAATTTGTTTGTCAGGCAATACTTGTACCAACATCGACTTTTTAACCTAATAATTAATTTATATTGTTTTCACAAAGGTAACCTTGGAATATCTGAAAAAGATCATGTGGTGGTTTATGATTCAATCGGTAATCCAAGAAAGACTGTTATTTATTCAAAATGATTTGTTTGTTTAATTTGATTATTATTTTATTTTGATCAGGGATATTTTCATCAACAAGGGTTTATTGGACTTTTAAGGTATCTTTAAATTCTTTATTTTACTTTCAGGTTTAGAGTATTTCAGCATTATTTATGTCTTATATCTAAAAGGTCTTTGGTCATGAACGAGTGTCTCTTCTTGAAGGAGGGCTACCTAAATGGTTAGAGGAAGGTAGACCGGTAGAGAGTGGTCCAATCGACATAATTGTATGTTTGGAAAATAAAATAAATTTTAATTTTTTTTTAAAAAAAAAATATAATTAATTTTATTTTTATAGTCAAAATCGTATAAAATTCCGACATTAAATACAGCACTCGTAAGAAATTATAATGATATCAGGAATAATATTGACCGTGGTAAAGATTCTCCAGATTTTGAACAAGTTCTGGACGCTAGGCCTGAGGCGCGGTATTTATCTGCCATATTAATTTATCATTATCTTTTATATATTTAACATTAATAAATTTTAATTCATATCAAAAGTTTCACTGGTGATGCATCCGAACCAAGGCCTGGACTCCCTAGTGGGCACATGCCATATTCTATCTCGGTACCATTCAATTCAATCATTGACCCAAATATCAAAACCACATTTTTGAATGATGATGAATTAAAGAAACTCTTTCAATCCAAGAATATTGATTTAGAAAAACCTATCGTACTAAGTTGTGGTAGTGGCGTCACTGCCACGATGCTTTATACTGCTTTAGAAAAAATTGGTGCAAAAAAACTTGCAGTTTATGATGGAAGTTGGACTGAATACGCTGGAAAGGAAGGGTCTCCTATTGTCGGTAGAAAATAAAGCTTATAAATAAATTTGTTTATAATTACAAGTATATGATCCAGAATTTTGATAATGGTTTTTTTTTTTCGGAATAACTAAATGCGTTCAAAATATATATGATTAGCCACATCAATTAATTTTTTGTTTCGTATAATAGCAATGAGAATAAAATTTTATTTTAGTCTTATATTCATATATTATATCTTGCATTTACATCTTAAGGCGTTCTCAAGTACTTTCCTCAATGGCTAACAAAGAATCTGATTTGTCTGATTCTTTATAGAATTCATTGAAAGAGGTGTTTGAGACGCTTATAGTAGAGCTAGCTGCTAAGAATATTTCTATTCAAAGCATAGAGATTCACCTGAATTATAGAACTATAAACTAATTTTTTATTTAAGATTCTCAGTTATAGTTGAGGCATCAAAAATTAAACTTTTGCTATTAATTATCGTTATATGATAGAAATATAGTACCGTATCAAGTATAGCTGAAATAACGCTCGTAGCGTCATTTCGAACATTGCATCCTTTACAATCATCATATTTTTGGCTCAAAACGACTCCTATGCGCGTACCAAAATAACGTACACTTTGTATAATATATATGATAATGAATTTGATATATATCCGTCAAGTTCGAAATTTTTGACCCTTTACAGTATTTCGAAATAACACATGAGCATCTCGAAATAACACACTCGGTACGGTGTAAAACCTTGTTCCGCCTAGGAAGCAGTAGTTAGAATGAAGGTTAGTTTACTATACAAAATATATATTTTTTTTAAATCTTCGAACCTAAAATAATTTTTAACCAAACAAATTTATCATCTAATAAAAGTTGTAAAGGATATAAAAGTAAGGTATATGTAGAACTGCAAAAAAAAAAAATAAATAATATGGTCTTCTAGCAATTCACTGGACCGATTTTAGCGTCACTATTTATGACAGGATTTCTTGTCTCTATAAATTTTTGGAAGATAGATTTGCTTGGTAAAAGCAAGACAAATTATAAAATGGACCTATGGTATTCAACACCATATACTGTATATACTGTATTTTTATTACTTATTATTTGTAATATAAAATTTTGGCTAATAAAGTTTAAGTTAGAGGTTAGGATTAGAGTTAAATAAATGCTTTTTTGGTCGTTGAGTATTTTTGACTAGAGCACCAAGAATTAAATAATTAGAGAAATAGCAATTATGGCCTAATATTTACACTCATTACTAAGCTATTTTATTTGAGACCATTCACATTTAAAAAAACCAGAGGTCATTAGATTATTTTGATTAAAGTATTTACATTCGGGTATTACTTCTCTTGCACGTATAAGAAATAAATAAGTCAAAAAATTTACTCGCATATCGACTTTGATATTGACCTATTTGATGATCGTGCACGTATCTATGTAAATTAGCAAGTCACATAGATAATTAGATGAATTTAGAAGTAAATACTTTTTGTAATGCGTAATGATATATAGAAGCTCTGGGATACGTAGCTGACAGCCCGGGTTCGAGACCACTCGAGCAAAATGTAAAATAAGGGTGTAGCTCATTGGATGGTAGTATGGATCTGATGCAACATCTTCCGAGAGAAGTGTACAATTAAATCTTTAATGGGTAAAGTCATTTAAATTAATTAATTAAACGCCTAATTGAAATGTTCAGTTTTGGGAATAACCGGATAAGTTTGTCGATTTTTTTGGAGAATCGTCTTGTCGACCCTTACAGAATTGATCGCGTTCTTTTTATAATAACATATTTTACATTATAGAATTCTGAATCTAAAATAAATGTTACAGATAAATTCTGAATTCAATTAAGTGGATTTCAGATTCTAAAACAACTTAGGTGTAAACAAAAGTTATTACAACTCGTGTATTTGCATCTTGAATTTCTTTGATTGATTTGATTTCAAAAATCATACTTTGATCGATTACCTAGTCGACTAAGGCCGTTCTCAAGGATCTAAATCAATTGATTAAAGAATGATCGTGATGACGCTCAAGCATCACAATCAATAGCGATATTTATAGAATTAAA